CATGTAAGTGCAATTTGTTACCATTCATTTAAAGTAGAACTCCTGTGAATGATATCTTATTTTATTTCATAACGGATTTTTGGAATACAAATTGAGTAGAAAAAAGTGTTTTCTGTATAATTAAGTGTTCATTCATATAAAAGTATTTGTTTCGAAAGAATTTTTTTTTCGTGTAATTCAGTATGAAAGTAGCTGTTTCAGGAAGGCTTTTTCTTCCAGATTTGTGTCTGAAAGTTACTTCTTTGAATGATCTACACATGTATGTATACAGTTACTTCCGTTGATATTGATTAATTCCTTCCTTTCCCACATATTCTATATCAAGATGGAGTAGTAGAAAGCCAAAAACTTTCTTTCCCAAAAAAAAAGTTAATTTAAATACAATGTTTTTAAAAATGTACCCCAAAATGTAAGTAATGGTTATACAACAAATGCCTTCAAAGCCTGCAGGCCGCTTTAAATAAATGAAATATGTTGGCAGCAGATCCTATGTTAGTGTGGTATTTAAAATCTGGTTATCTATCAATTGACAATTTAAGTTGAACATGAAAGGTTCACGTCTTTGTGTTTCTTCTCCTTGTGTGAGTGCAGGATTAGAAGGTGCTTTTTAGAGTATTCATGACCTACAATCTTGATTAACCATTTTTGTGTATAGCAGAAGACTTTAACTTGAGTGTATACTGTTAGTTTTATTTCCCAAAAGATTTAAGACAAAAAATGTGTAAAGCTACTAAAAAGACTACAGCACTAGCCAAAAGTGCTACTTATAACATTATATACACCATTTATGAGTGCAACAAATATGCAAAACCAAAGGTACAGGAAAAACTACTATTTCCTGAATGTAGTGTACCATTATGCAACCTATTGAAAGATATGAGTTTCGAATTAAAAGTATTCTTCAAGTAACATTTTACTATGAGATATTCACCGAACAGTTTACAAAACTCCAACACGTTTTTCAATATGATGAAACCGTGTTGCATAAACTGTTCAGTGAAAATCTCACTCACTTTATACCACTTTATTGTTACCCAACACAACTGCACCATATAGAGAAACATGTGTTGCATTTTTGTAAACTGACCATTGAAAATCTCACAATAAAATGTTACTGAATGAGTTTAAAATGTCAAAAATAGAATTCAAGACTGGGAATGTTGTAAGTTGCCAAGGTTGCTCTGTATAACATATTTAGTGAAATGGAACCACATATACATTGAAAACTCTACACAACATCATAAATGAAAGAGTGAAGATACCAGATCAGATAATCCCAGACGATAATCTCATCAGTGGTTCTCTCTATCTCTAAGATCAATCCTCATGAAAACGCCATCTAGATAATTGACAGAAAACGTGAAGATGAAGGAGTATTGGCATAAAATTTCATGTACCATTTTTATTCTCAAAGTGAACAAAAACACTAAAGTTCGAATACTCTGTCAACATTATTTTGAAGGGCAATTAACTCAAATTATTTCCTTCGCAATGATAGTTTGTTCTCATATAACTTTACTAGCGAACCGCCCCGGCTCCGCCTGGGGCAATGTTGATACTAAATATAAATTCACCCACCAGAAATTTATGGACACGCCTTTTCCCTGCGACTGGCGCCCCAGTTGGAATATTTAAAATACCTTTTTATTGCACATTGCAACCTACATACAAAATTTCAGTCTCCGAAAATATAGCGGTACGGAGAAACAATAATGAAAAAATAACTTCATTTTATGAACGCGCCTTTCCCCAGTGGCTGGCGCCTCAGTTGGAATATTTAAAAAACTTTTCTTACTGCACATCTACAAAATAAAACGAACACATACAAAATTTCAAAGTTTTAAGTGAGTGACTTTCACATTTATAAGTTTAGATACCTCAGCTATTTGAAATAATACGTCAAGGATAAGAGACTTCCACTTACTACCTTAAAAATGACTACCTTTCTCAAAACTCTGTTATATCCATCTTTATGAAAATCAATAGTTGATTTGCCTCCTCAAATGTAAATTTTTGTATAATGTTGTTAAAGTGAATTACTCTATTTTAAAGAAAATTACCAAGTATTCCTTCATTTGCAATGAATAATGATGTAACTCTGGATGGTCATAAGTCAATATAAAGTTTTGTGTGAGCAACTGAACATGCTGTCTCATTTGCTGCTCGATCAGCTCCAATAAAGGTATATCACTTTCACTTAAAAATAAAGTTGGTTGACCTTCTTCCTAAAAAGTGAAAACAAAATTATACAGCACGAAAATGGGTAATTGCAGTCAAATCCTTACTGACGCATCTTCAATATTTATTTCTTCCTCTTCCTCGACTTGATCAGTTTGGCTCTGATCACCTGTGTAGAGGTCAACACTCTCAAAAAGTTCTGCTATAAGTTTATTCATTTCCCGTCTAGAGATTTTTACGGCTTTATCTACCCGAAATTCATCCTTATCCCTTTTGTCAATATCTTCGTCAGCTAGTATATTAAAATCAGGGTCTTGATCCTCATCTCTGAACTCGTCCCTGACCTCTTCCATAGGTCTGGCAAACTGTTTTATAAACTCCAACCAATCATCATTGTCGCAGTGCATATCATACATATCTGGAGTTATATCAGGAGGTACAAAAGCTTCTTCTATAACTTCTAGTGGAGTGGAACTCAAGGAAAGCTGTGACCTGAGAGAGATATATACATGTTTATTGTCATACGTATACCTTCTCAACAAATATTTTTTAGTTGAAATTTAGTAGGAAACGGCGATGATATCATATCAAAGATAAATGGGGTTCCCGAAGGAGGTCCAAGTCAAGCTTTGATATTAACCGCCAAATGATATTCATCTTGTAGAGCAACTAGATGAAACTATAGCCCAAAAATAAAGCATTCGTGATCCAACACAAGACGGCGATGTTTCGACCCGCTAAAGTCTAATTAATGGTGCTAGACCGAATCACGGAAGCATTGCTGGACTCAGCTGCCCTCAAATGACAAACCCGAGTATGAAACAGCGATGACATCACCCTTTACGAAGACACTATCTATGGGATCAACAAAACTCAATTCACAAATATCGAAGAAAAAAACTAATTTTCCCAAGGTGGTCCATTTGCCTCTTGGCAGGTCGAAACCGAACTGTTTGGCGTTGGATCACAAATGCTTTGTTTTTGTGCTGGTTTCATCTACTTGCCTTGCATTGAAAGCTGTAGCTAAAGACCGAGGATGTATTTTCTTCGGCGGTCAATGTCAAAGCTTGGTTTTGTAACGGACAGCCTTGAGATACCTACTTTATCTTAGATATTCGTGGATTGTGTTCTAACGATCTCATAGATGGCGTCTTCGTAAGAGGAGATGTCTTTGCCTTTTACCAAAAAGTTGTTCATTTCTACTTGAACAAACCGTTGACTGTCAAATTCCAAAAATAATCATGTTGATTTTACTGTAACTACAAAAATGATTCATATTGACTTGAATTACCGTACCTAGTACGCTTGGCAATTGTTGTTGCATCAGTAGATTCTTCTTTGTCTTTGGTCCAAGGGATTTTAAAAATACCATCATCCGTCCAATTAGTCTCAGAAGTTTTGCTGGTAGAAACCAGAGATGGGGTAAGTATTGGAGGTGGAGTAGGTGCCGGAGGTAGAGTAGGTACCGGAGGTGGAGTAGGTGCCGGAGGTGGGGTAGGTGCCGGAGGTGGAGTAGGTGCCAGAGGTGTGGTAGGTGCCGGAGGTAGGGTAGGTGCCGGAGGTAGGGTAGGTGCCGAAGGTAGGGTAGGTGCCAGAGGTGGGGTAGGTGCCAGAGGTGTGGTAGGTGCCGGAGGTAGGATAGGTGCCAGAGGTGGGGTAGGTGCCGGAGGTGGGGTAGGTGCCGGAGGTGGGGTAGGTGCCGGAGGTGGGGTAGGTGTAGGGAGTGGCTCCACGGAAGGTGGATTACTGAATGTAATACTCTCACCATCTTCTTCACTCTGAGACAAAAAAAAAGTCCAATCAATAATAATAATAACTTCATTAACATTCTTAACTTGATTACTCCGGCTCATAGAAGATTAGAATCAGATATTACACTAATTGACAAAATAATCAATGGTAGCAATAATTCCCCAGAACTTGTTGAACTTATAACTTCAAATGTGAATACAAAGAGAACAAGAAATGCAGAAATCTTCAAAGTACCTTTTTATCATACCAACTATGGCCAGAATGAGTCGATAGGTGGAATTTTGAGACTAACAATGTGGATTTAGAACTTCTTAATTCTTCTTTGGAATAATATAAGATTGATGTGAAAAGACTGTAATTTATTGACTTATTTTTGCCTTTTTTTATTTATATTTTTTCCTTGCAACTAGCTGATAGCTATAGTACATATGTGTGAATTTGGTAATTATTTTATAAAATAGGCAATGCTGCGATGAAAAAATTAGGAATTCCAATATACTGAACAGTAATAAAAATGAGAAAGCATATTTTTTTTACAATACTAAAATTGATAAACAATGATATGAATAATAAAAAGGCAATTTAAAAACTGAATGCTGAATAAAACAATCAAAACCAGCACCGACACTAAAAAATAACAAACATAAAGGACATAAATCTATAGACTAAAGACATAATTGTCTCTTGTTACTCTTTGCTTGACTCTCAGGCCAACCAAAGATAGAAGTTCTGGGAAATTAATTCCACCTGAGAATAATTTAAATAGAAATAATAAATCAGCCTGAACCCGCCTGTTTTCCATTGTGGTTAGATGCAGTGTAGAAAGATTATCAGTGTACTTATTTCGCTGGTCCATCTGAACATCCATTTTGTAGGCAGCACTATGCAAAAATTTATTTTAAACACATCCTCAAGATTTCAAACCTCTATGAAAAAATTCCTGCACATAAATTTGTTTTATAATCTAATAAGTTTTCAGTATGAATCTATGAAACTACTACATATATAATTTTATACACAGGGTAACAACGAAATCATTGTACACGGCGCCATTGAGTTGCTTATGGGGTAATAAATTTGAAATAAAGATATAGTTTATTGAGACCAATATTTTCAATGATAAAACACTTGAAAAGCTATACATTGGTTTATCATTAGAAATGCTGGCTTTAATGAACTCTACTTTCATTGATGTAGATTTTTGTGATGAATTTTTTTACAGAGAATATTGTTAATATACCACCTTTATGCCCAAGTTCTGTAAATTAAATCTATTTATATGAGGTTCTCCAGCAAGGAAGAAATCTTCAGCATTGTTAAAAGTTGAAAAACTAAGAAAACCTAAGATATATGTGGTATCAGTACTGATCTTCTCAAACAATGTATGTATGAATAGATAGAAGCAAGTCAATAGGAATTCATCACTTCAAATTACTTCCCAATAAAATAAAAGAACTACCATTTTTTATTCTCAAAAAATTGAAAAATGTTCTTATTGAAATGAGTCCTTATAATACGTGTGATTTCATAATAAGAGTAGAAGACTCACTTGAAGACTGCTAGTGTGTATTTTGTTTCTTTATCTCAATTTTGGTATGTTTTATTCATTACAATTAATCTTCAGAACTTAGTGAGTTTTTTTTTTATTAATCAGGTAATTTCTATTTCAAATTTCTTACCTCATGAACAATTGAATTGCGCCATGTTCAAAACAAATATTATCCTGATCAGGTGATATTTTTTAAATACCGAGATTCAAATAATGAATTTCACCTACCCCTGCTACTTCATCCCCTGGAACATACTCTTCACCAGAATCATCTTCCTGTAAATCTTCCGTCAGCAAAACCTGAACTTCAGAATTATCAGAAGTATCTTCAGGTGACTCCCATGCTGCTAGAGGAAATGGTACCGACAGTTCCCTACACAATAAAAATATAGGGTATATAACTTTTTAAAATATTTATTAAACACTTAATAAAAAACTTTATAGGCTGTATTACTAAGAGAGTTGGGGCCTCTTTTAACACAATGCAATCTAGAATTTGAATCTGAAAACTATTATGTCTAAAATTGATAACTACGAATGAAATAGACAAAGTACTTTGCTTTTGCTCTTGTCAACTTCGGTTCGAAATCAGAAACAGGCTCCTCACAGGTACTAGGATTTTCGGCTCTTTTTACCAGAGCCAACACATATTCATTAGTGACAACTTGTTTAATTATGTTTTTCACATTCACTACATTTAGCTTTGTTTTAGCAGCTTTCTCTTCAAGACGTCTTTCGATTTCATCTTCAATACTCTCGATAAAAATCCTTTCGTCTTCACTAAGAACCACTGGTGGTTTTATCTTTTTGGGACTTTCTATATCAATTTTCAAAGTATCATCAGAAGAAGAGTCTTCCTCGTCACTACTGGAAGTACTTGAGAATGATTCATCTAATTCTTCCATGACTTCCACTAATGAAATTAAAAATATTTTATAGCCTAAACGTGTGAAGTATCTTGCATTTTCGTATTTGAGTTTGAATTGAACTCATTGAACTGTTTATTGTGATTTGTTGTGACTTCTGATTGGACTAAATTAATAAATAAATATTCTACTTTTTTTTTCATGGCCTCGAGTGTAAGATCTTACAGTCAATGTTCATTCTTAATTCTCTTGAATCTCGTCCTCAGCGGGGACTTTTTTTACCGATGGTGGCACCAGTGAGTATAATGTATATTGTATAATGCTAATCAGTTGTTCCTTTCATCAGAACCATGGATGTTTCTGTCTCAAAGTTTTATTTTTTTAGAACTACTGCGCATCCATATATTCCTGCCACGAGTGGATTTGTCAGCATTTGATATTTCATACACTGCCCAACAAGTAAATAATAAATATAATCTTCTTGACAGTAAAACAAATTTCATGGGAAATTAAATGAGTATTTTGAAGTAATGTAATCTATTATGGACGCTTTGATTTTTTCATCCAAATTGTTCCACGTTTTTACTCGCTCCTTGTATGTTTGTTTCAAATTTTCAATCGATTTGAAAATAAGTTACCGATGAGCTAAAGGGATTTGTTAATTCAAACATAGCTCAGAACTGAATGAAAATGCAATATTTTGCATACTGTATAAATAAAATAAAACGTATAATATCGAACAAAGTTCGGAATGCGTGTGGGAGAGTTTCAAACGAATAAAAAGAAATAGTTTGCTCGTTCAACCCAGCCGGTACTGATGAAATGCAACAACATTGCAACAATGCAACAAGAGTAATACTTGTTGTTTTTTTACAAATATCACTGCAAAAGTGTCATCTTTGGGGAACATTACATAAATAGATTCCACATGCTATTTAATGTCTGTTAGGGATACTAGTTGTTTTCTGGCCAATATTTTCCTGCAGGTGGTCACCCTGCCCGTATCGAAATAAAATTCAGCCAGGATGCCCTTGTAACTCGATTCCTGTACTCTGAGGAACACTGCACAAGGATTTTTTTATATAATGCAATACCCGTCATGGCACAAGAAAAGGGAGTAGTTGATCTGACAGTTGTTTGCCATAACAGCCTACATGGGGACTAGAAATGGGTGAAACATCGGTCGGCAACGTCTATCGTTTCTGAACGATTTCTCAAAATATATCTAAGCTTGGTGCCAGTGTATGAAAATAATAATAATGAAAATTTTGATGATATCAATATATCCTGCCATTACTCAATGAAAATAAGCAGATTATCAAGGCGATTCACGGCACATCCAAGAACTACCTTCTACGATTCCATCATGTGCGCTGTGATTATTATCAAAAAGTAGGGATAGTTGTACTACTGGTTCTTTTAGCGTTATACTTGTGACCAAAAACCACTTACACTAGAGTAAGTGGTTTGTGCTTGTGACACAGAACTTAAACATAGAGAGTTCTGTGGCTTGTGAGCAAAGATTGTTAATAGGAAAATATTTTTTTCTGTTTATTGTTATAATTCTGCGAAGCTATTTATCTAAATAATCTATCCTTCTTCAGGGCCCATGATTTATTGAGTCATGAAATATTTCTTTGAAAAAAATTACAGAATTTAATTTACAGTAAAAATGAGTATAAACACGTTCGGACAGTATGTTAGAGAGTTTAACTTTGGAAAACACTAATGTGTGTTGATCTGGGGTTTTGCTCTACTGATTTGTTGACACGCTCAAAACTAAAGTATTCAGTCCGTTGATCAGATGCTCAGCATCGACTGACTCTTGCTAGGGATAACACTTTAGAAGTTAATCTGAGATTGTTAAGAGGGAAGCAGGATCTACCTAGGTGGTTATTTNGGCAACATTGTAATCAATGACAAAGGCAGACAGAAGGCGTGGCTACAAACGTTTATTGAGAGAGAAGAGGAAAGGAAGATGCGCAATACTATCGGCCCCTGTCAATTTTATGTCAGCTGTTTTCTGGCATTGTGGGAGATGTTAATCCTATTTCATTCTCAGCTGTTCAATGTTTAGCCAGTGATAGGAAAGTAGTTGAGTGGAGAGTGCTGTACAATACTCAGTTGGTTAACTATGTCAGAAACTCAGCCATCTCCTTCAAGTAGCGAAATTTCTTCTCAAAACATCGATAGTATCGAAAAACATGAAGAATTTGCAGAGCCCGAGTCAAAAAGGCGTAAAGTTTCAACCAAACTGGGAGATGAAAAGAAGTATAAGTTGGAGGATAGATTGGGAGGAATTTTGTGCTGCGCAGTATGTCTAGACCTACCCCGAGCTGCCGTATATCAGGTAAGTTCCAAAATGTCTGCATTTTGCTTAATTGCATAATTACAAAAAAATTCATTACGTAATACGTTTATAGTTTTTATTTTTCTTTGTTCTGTTTTTCATTGCAGCAGCTCATGCAGGCGAGTTGATATTGATTTTACTCGTTTGTCTGTAGCAAAACAGAATCAGGGCAGGGGTTCTTTTTATATTCTTGTGCTTTCAAGTCTTTGTTCTGTGAAGTCATTTTGTTTCCTGTCTTACCATAATTATCTCTAATTGACGATACAATCTCGGGTGTAAACATTACTCAAGAGACTTTATTAATGCGCATATGTTCGTAAATAATGTATTTTGTTTATTGTTGTCAAATATTGAAAAGAGTAAGAAATTAAGTATTGTCAATGATATACCTAATTGTAGTATAGTCTTAAATTATATTCAGAATAAAATATGACTGAGAATGTAATAGGTGATATAAATTCTAGTCATTTTTATAAGAAATAATTATTTGTATTTTGAATTTTTTGTAAGCGTGTAATCGTGAGTGTTTGAAAAAATGAATAAATCTCTGAAATTTCATTTATGGTAGTCGTTTACTTCACTGCTAGTTTTAGTTTTTTCCTAACCCATTCCTTTGATTTTATGGTTTAATATGTCATGATAACTATGTTCAGTGATGCGTAGTAAAATGCTAGAAAAAAAAAGGTAGGTTGGTGAAGCAAATGAACTGCATTATGATGATTCAAATCATTCTCGCTTCAAGGACAACTACTATTAAAAAAAAATCAATATTCTTTACTGAGTAGGTAGGTAGGTATTATATTATGCGGTCAGGTGAAAAATTTTGTAAATGAAAAAGTACCTAACTACATACTTTGGAAGGTAAATTATACTGCAAAGGTCAATCTACTATAGTAAAAAATCTTGTTTCGAAAAAAGGTAATGTAGAAAAATACAAATCACATTTAAACTGTTTTAGATTAAATTAAAAACACTATATTGATAATTTTTATGTTAATTCCAGGGTAAGAAGAGGATTGGTAAGTTTTTCACAAAAATTTTTCTCATTACATGATTGGTAATTATCTTTGTAATGGTTGGAAATTTTTGACACCAAACCCAGGAAAAAATAAAATGACTGATTTCATTTATTACCACAGCTTTTCCACTTGAAAAACGGATTGAAAATTATTCGTCTTTCTTCAATGTACCTATTAATTAAAAAATGATAGAAATGAGTTCAATCCCCTTTTCAAGGTGATAGAAGCTGTCAGTATAAACATGGTCGTTGTTAAGGTTTTATTTAGAGTTGAAAAATAATAATCAATTATTTTTATGTGTCAAGGTTCAGAATGTTTTTGAATACCTGCCTGCTAGAAGAGGTTTTGCTAGAAGTTTTTTTCAAACTAATGAATGAAACAATATATTAAAGAAAGAAGTCATTTGATTCAGAACATTATGCCAAGAACATTCCCGTATTTCAACATTGTCAACTTTGGAGTCTGCAATTGATTAATCATATTCAAATTTTAAAATTGTGATAAATTTTTTCGGTATTATAAACGAATGTACATATATTCATAAATTTTTCTTGTTAATTTGAGTATATTTATATCTGATGTTGAAATCGGTATTAAGTTCAATAATGATAATCTACATCAATGCTGTACCACATTGTTCAGAAAAATGTGTTTGCGTCTCTTCATAAATAACAATTCGTTATGGATATTATTTTATATTTTTTCTTATTTTTGGATTAAGATTGTCAATTTTTTTTTAATTTGACTCTATTGTGCAATTATCTACAAAATAGTTCAGGGAATTTTTTTCAAATGTTTAATTTTAAATTACCTTTACTAATGTATACCAACCATTATTCATCAGAACATGTTTCACCTTCGAAATCATTCCTTAAGACGAAGTAATAATATGACATGCTGATTAAAAATATGTTCCCATCCACAATATAGGTCATATTACGAACAAGAAACGCCTCCGAACTAAGAATTGACCATAACCATTACATATATCTTGTTATCTTATTATCCATAATCAATTGAGTACATTTTTGATCAGAAAGGAAATTAAACTCAGCCTGGTTCATATTCTTTGAATAATTTTTTTTCGTGCGTATTTACAGTGCAGCAATGGTCACTTAATGTGTGCCGGATGCTTCACTCATATTTTGGCCGATGCGAGACTCCGCGAGGAGACAGCCACTTGCCCGAGCTGTCGCGTGGAGATTAGCAAAACTACGGCCACCAGAAATCTGGCCGTCGAAAATGCCGTATCCGAATTGCCGGCCGAGTGCCAGTTTTGCAACAAGCAATTCCCCAGGAACTCTCTAACCAGACACGAAGAGACGGAATGTGAAGAAAGGTTCGTAAAAGTTTAACTGTGAAAAAATGTTGCTAGTCTGATAAGAACAGAATGAAACAGGGATTTATTGACCACTTTTATAACATTTTGAGCAATACAGCTGAAAGATAAGTCAAAACTACATGACATACAACATAGGAATGAAAGGTTGAAATATATACATACAGTTCAGAAAATGAAGACATAGAATGATAGTGACTGTCAAACATACTTATTTATATAGACTTATAATAATTTAAACTTTAAACGAATGCTTGATAATATTCATACAGAGTAAGAACACACACAACATAAGAACATGTTTGAACTTGATTGAGAATTTTTGGTTTGAAAGGGCCTTATATCTTTGAAGTAGTCTGTGGGTGAATTTTAGCTAATCTGTAAAGGTCGGAAGAAAAAACACATTTGATCTTTTTGTTTAGTATTGTAATTATATGTGTCAAAAATTATATTTATCAAAATGGGTGTTCTGTTCGGCCAACGTAACGCGCGCCCCGGCCATTTTACGGTCGCCATAATCATTCTACTGAGAGGACTATTCGCAATGTGGTGGATAAATTTAGGTCCACTGGTTCAGTAAACGATCGGCCAACACCCGTACGGCGACAAAATGCAAGACCTTCCGAAAGCATTGCCACTGTCTGAGAGAGTGTGCAGGAGAATCCGAGGTAGTCGATTTCGCGTCGCTCACAAGAACTCGGCCTTTCGCAGACCACAACTTGGCGAATTTTTCATTGTGACTTGAGCTTGAACCCTAACAACATTCAACTGACCCAGAACGACCATAGACAACGACGTGTGTTAGCTGAATGGGTTCAGGATCAGTTGGCAACTGAGCCTAATTTTCATAAAAAAAAATCATCGACAGCCATGATGCCCATTTCTAGATGAATGGATACGTGAACAAACAAAATTGTCGAATTAGGGATGATACCAATCCACATGAGATCGAAGAGCTTTCAAATACATCCCGAAAAAGTCACTGTATTGAGAACGACTCTGGCCAGGCCATCACTGTCAAAGGCGAGCACTATAGGTCGATGATTACCAACTTCTTTTGGCCTGAATTGGATGATCTGCACACCAATGACATGTGGTTTGAACAGAACGGCTCACGCCACATTGGATATTCTCCATGAGCGATTTGAGGGCATGGTGATCTAACGTGGAGGTGGTTTGAACTGGCCACCGAAATCGTGCGATTTGACCCCGTTAGACTTTTTCTTACGGGTTTTCTTAAGTCGCAGGTGAATACAAATAAGCCACAATCCACAGCAGTCCTCAAAGCCAGCATAACCCATGCCATCGATCAAATTAGGACTGATTTATGCACCAGTCATGGAAAATTGGACGTTTGGATGCGATCTAACAAGAGTAGTCGTGGCAGACCTTTGAACGATGTTATATTCCACACTTAATGGCATCAATAGGTCTTTCTAACGAATAAAAAATTTCGATGATATCTTACTTTGTGGTTTTTATTTGATATTGATAATCTGTGTTCAGGGGGTAGGAAATTATTTTTTCTTTTTCATTGGTCACCAGTGAAAAAAGTTCACACCCCAGATGTTTTTTAATATAAGTGAAGTACTCGAAAAGAAGGAACCATAACATGTTGAAGTTGTCGTGAACTCTAAGACTTTTTTTATAATCATCAGGTTGCTTCATTTTGCATAAAACTATTTTTTGAAAATTGAAAATATTTTGTACTGCTTTCAAGACACCGATTTAAAAAAAATAGCCATACCCAATCTGAATTGGAAATAATCTTGAGATAAACAAATAGTAAGTAAATCTAAAATTTCCTCTTTTACTGGAGTATATACAAGATTTTTCTCTAAGAGAAGCTCTACCAGCTGAATTGTTTCAATTGGCAAAATAGTGGGAAATAAATTTTAGACATCAAACGATATTAATTTAGCGTTATCAAAAAAAGTTACGTTTTCTTTATTATGTTTTCTGATTGATATGTATTATTTATTCTAAATCGCGGTTTGAAATTAGTGTGAATTTCGATTAATTGTATGAGCAATTCTGAAATTTTCATGGATGGAATCGTTACAAACGACGCCACAGGTCTAATTGAAAAATGGGTTTTATGTAATTTCAACCATAACTAGTTCTATGCACTTCAGAGGTTTCTTTCACCTATTTCACCAACTGTGGATCTTCACTCAGAATATCGTAGGTTCCTGAATTAAGTAAATCTAGAGTTTTACTAAGGTATTCTTTTTTATCTATAGAAATAACAGTTCAACCTTTGTCTGCTCTTGTAAATATAATGTCATTATCACTAGCCATTAGCCTTGTTTATTTGGTTCTTGAAAAAATGTTCTGTTATGTTATTATACATTATCTAGGTAGGTATTTGAAGCACAGATTAAGTGGAATTTAGTTAGTATGGAAATGTCACAATTTAGTGTTACTTGAATACGTCATGGATTTTCATCAAGTATCGGCAAATTCCATCACATCAAATATTTCTACCATTTATAGTGTATTCCAATCATCGAAGATTTGTTTTATTACCAGTAGCTCTTCTAATTTGGACATTCGCTAATGTTTAATTCTAATTGTGACTCATACTTGTCAAATATTCCCGTATATATAATCTCAAGGCAGTTTAAGCACAAAGTATTCATTATTTTCAGATTCTTTATCTTTTCACAAGTAATTTCAGTCAAATTGCAATGAATGATAATCTTGAGGAAATACTGATATGCAAACAACACATCATAAAAACATCAACTTATCAGTCGGTAAGAATAACAAATAACACATAGTACCTCTGTATGTTGAAATTCAGATAATGTCGTCAACCAGTATGTCCTTATATATTTTTCTTATTTTTATTTGTTGTTGATATAACGGATACTTTAGTTTCACATTCAGCATCTGTTTGTTGTCTTTAAGGTAGAAACATAAAGATCAAATGCTTGTATATGTTTAATAACAAAAATTAAGCGAGAACCTCAGTGGTTATAGAATATCAAGACCATTTGTGATTCTTCCTCCTCATAAGATCTGATCCTCTTGTATTATAGTTTCTTGTTCTATTTGAGAATATTTTTATTTACGACAAAACGTTTAGGCGTTCGCGGCCGAGGTTTTCAGTGTCCCTAATTTTCGGGTTTGAAGGCCATCGATTTTTGGACTTTTTTTCGAATTTTTTAATTTATTTTATTCTCGCTCTACCGATTCGAACAAAACATGATTCAAATTTCATAATTTTGATGAATGCCAGAGTGATCTTGCCCAGACCAGAAATTCGTCAATAATCGAGTTTTTCACAAATAAGTTTTATGGTTTTTGGCTTGTTACATTGAGTTTCGTGACAGACCTAGTTAAACAAATAGTTACAATATTTATTTATCATTCCAAAACTTCAGGTTTCCAACTTCAAAACTGTCGAAATTCAATAAATACTTTGAACCTCTATTTTCCCCCTTGGGGGTGGAAGTTCCTGATTTCCTTTCTTGATGCCTATTTACGCTACACAAAGAAGATACCTGCATATTTCAAGATTCTAAGTTCAGTAGCTTCGGCAGTACGTTAATATATGAGCGGCCAACAGCTAGTAATTTATATTTTTACTTTGAGAATACAGTAACTAAAAAAATATGCCAACTGCACTAAGTAATGAATAGCTTCGAAAATCGAATTATGCTACCTATAAGTAACCGTCAACGACGTCTGCCCTCACGCGTCTGCCCGCGTTCGGGTCGCTCGGCTATGGCGTTTCATTGCTTTGACCGCCCCTCTACTCCTGCGCGTCGTCCATCGTCGTCTTACAGTAGACGCGACGCTTAATGGTTCACTGCGTTGCATCAAGTTAATCTTATCGTGATAACTTTTAAACGATTCGTCCAAGTTACTCAATGTAAAAGACAAAATGTATCTATATTAAATATTTAAAACGACATTTGTATCAATTTTTATAAGAACTTAACAGATATTCTGAAATGTGCATTGTAAAAAAGTATCCCATTTAATTGTATTTATGGGTCAGTATTTTGCATACACTGGCTACCACATAAGAGTTAGATATAATCGCGGACTTTTATTTTTAACTATTTAAGATATAGGCAGGCAGCGCACGCCAAAATAGCTCTCAGGGAGCAAGAATTTTTCCGACTTACTTATACTTATCGTTTATATTATGACTAAAATTACACAAAACCTTTGTAAATTGTAGCGTATATGTTATTCTGATTTATAAGCTGTATGTATGTTTCATATAAATCATTTCAGTCGTTTAGGCGTGAAAGAGCCACAAACATATCTACATCCTCACAAACTTTCACATTTATATTAGCATAGATATATACCTAGATAGATGTTATCCACACAAGACAAAGTGGAAATCGTTCTTCTTGTGGTAGTTCTTTTACGTGTGATTCTTTTATGGTACCGCGAAAAGGATATTGAAAACATTCAAAGAAACTGACCCTCTGGACAATTGTTTCAAGAAACCACATAGTCCAATGAGGTATAATGAAGAAGAACAAATCAATGTTTGTTTGAGCATTTTTGAAAATGTTAAGCCTAATTTCGGGCTGTATTAGTGAAAATACAGGGGTTGATAGAGAAACTGTTAGAAGAATTTTGCACAAAAATTATTTCTATCCTTATAAGCCAAAGTTTGTACACACTATAAAAGAAATAGATTTCGATATACAAGTAGGACATTCATTTTGTTTGCAAGTTGGTACAAATATAATAAAGAACCTGTCATTGGCATCGCTTTAGGCTTTGCCAAGCAAACATTGAACACCAGGATGGCAAGAAGATTTATGGACTTCTGGCAGAATCTTCCAGGATTGGCTCACTCCAAGGCCTTTATTCACCCTTCAAAGCTTGATACCAAACAGTTGTTGGACTACAGTAGGGATGAACTACGATGTCTAACACGCCTTCTTACAGGTCACTGTCATTTGAATCATCATATGCAGAGACTTGGACTGTAGGAAGACAGTGTGTGTCGCCTCTGTTTGTAAAATGATGAAACAGCAGAGCATATACTTTGTGCCTGTCCCGTTGGGGACCGAATCAGGTTCTTAGAGTTCGGCAGAGCTTGGTACTCTTACCATCTGACCTGAAAGACCTATCCCCATACAAACTAATCGGCTTCGATACAAACTAATCAGCTTCGTTAAGAAGCTGGATTTATTTGGCCGAGTGTGAATAGTTTTGATCCACAATAAACCCTTGCGGGTTGCGGGGAGGATCGAATAGACCCACTCACTTTTTTTTTTTCAAACTATATGTGAAAGAAACATTCGCCAATCATCTATTTATATTTTCTTTAAGATATTCCGTAAGAATTTGTTATTATAATAAAATGTCAATGCTAGTATTGAAAAATTTTATATTAACATTTTCAACAAATTATAGTGCATATTGAATTTCAGTATTCTTTTGTAAAATCATGTGAGGTATCCAATACATGATATTCTGTCTCTCACTTGAAAAGATAAAATATTTATCAAGCTGAATCAACCTCTGTGAGTCGAGGAACGCCAAAGATGTTTTGAATATGTTTTCTAAAACTGATGAGTATCTATTTATTTCCAGAATTTCAGGTTGTAAATATAGCCGCATAGGTTGTCCTTGGAGAGGCCCGATGCACGAGAGGTCCGAACATGAAAACGAGTGTGTCCATCCTAACCGTTCCGGACGAGATGTAATGGAAACCCTGAAAGTAATAGACCAACAGATGATTGAAGAACGCAAACTCTACGATAGTATTTTTGATTTGTTGGGATATGACAGAATTGCTTTCAGTGGTAAGAAAAGAAATTCTAATATGTTATACCAACTTATTTCTACCTTCTATTGGTAAGCACTGGAGTGTTCAGAACATTCTCTATATAAACATTTACATATGTGTTCATCTTTTAGCAGTTCTCTTAATATGCATTTAAATATTCATTATATACTTCATGCCTAATATAAACATTTACTATATAGGATAAAGAAAGTAACTTTTGTCTAATTTCTGTTGAGTTTATTATTTGTTATGATGGAACAAAAGTTGTTTTCTTCAATAAACTAGAAATTAGACAATATTTATTTTTTTATCGTACATTCAATATGAATTTCTACAAAATAAATAGGTTATCAATCAAACAATTTAGACATGTATGCAATTAATTACAAAATAATCCAAATAGTAAATTGATAAAAGAAAATACATATATCATTAAACCACTAATCTGTTATTCAAAACATTCATAGAGAAAGGTCAGTCTCCAGAAGAATTTTTAAAGGTAATCTAGATGATACTGAAAACTGTAGACCTATGTTATTTCAGTAATTCCTTTTTTTGGACATATTTCTGAAATTATTTTGAAAAATGGGCATTAATATTTCTCGAATAGTTACTAATACAATATATTAGAAAAGGTTTTGAGGAAGGAAAACATACAGTAGTTGCTCTTTGCGATTTGAGTAAAGCATTTGTCTGTATGTTGCATTCTGTTATGCTTTGTGTCTCACTAGATTCTGACAATATAACAGAATGTAAAATAATTGAGTTTGGGGTACCTCAAGGCTCAGTACCGAGTCCTCTCTTATTTATATTATATCTAAACGATATCTTTACATATATGAATCCGTATCATTGTATTGCTTTTGCAGTTGACAAAAGCATCATAGTTTCTCATATATTCGCCACAGACCTGGAAAAGGGTATAAAAAAGCTCAAGAAAAGTCAGAAATTTGGTTTAGGGTTAAGTGTCTGATGTTAAATATTGATGAAACGTGAAAAATGTTTTTTTCTTTTTTCCTGTAATGCTAATGTATCTGCAACAAGTTGTTGGGTGTTTGCATGAAAAGTTGAGCTAGTTAGTCCATATATACCAATCCTGTGGGGTAATAAAGTATTCCTGATGCACAAAAAGGCAATAAGAACTGTCTCTGGTGCACAGAGATTTATGTGAACCCTTTTCTTATCCATAAAAATTATGACTACCTACTACACAATTTCGAAAAATATGAAAGGCTAGTAATTTATTTTTAATATATAAAGGAGTAAATGCATCATGTGTCTGCCCTGTCACATTAGGTTATATTGTTTTCTAGACGCCATTTTCTTCAACCATTTCTTAATGTTTTGGATATCTATTACATTTTTCAATACCTGTGTTATATGTACTTTCATTAGGTTAGGTCCAAAGTGAGTGGGTCTATTCGACACTCCACCGCAACCCGCACGGGTTTATTGTGGGTCACACCTATTCCACTCGAAGCCGATTAATTTGTATGGTGAGTGGTCTTTCAGGTCAGATGAATGCCGAATTCTAAAGAACTGATTCGGCCCCCAGCGGGGCAGGCACAAAGTATATGCTCTGTTAATGAGGTAGTCGGTTAGTCAAGTTGCAAGATTCCCACCTTGATACTCACGAACCTTTCCATATGAGGGCTTTTGCACGTCAGCTACACCTGACGATGCCTTAGATTCAGCCGTGCAGAGTTTTTTCGCCTCTCGTTTTGGTGCAAACGTTCGCAAACCTGCTCATGGGAGGTTTGTTCTCCCACCTGAGACAGATTCTGCGTACGCTGCTCAAGACTTTGGTGTAAGGCGGTTTTATAAGGTACCCCGCTCTTGAGGAGACAACTCAGTCGTTCCCTGGCTGCACCACCAAACCTTTTTTTTAAGGTTCAGTTGTTGGATCAGGAGTTGGGGAGATAAGAAACTCACGCTCCTGAACTAGATTTACAGGGAGGTAAGTTGGAGTCGTAAACTCAACATCCATCTCCTTTGTAGACTCGCTCCTGAACTAAATTCACAGGGAGGTCAGTTGGAGTCGTAAACTAGACATCCTTCTCCTCTGTACAATCGCTCCTGAACTAAATTTACAGGGAGGTCCGTACTTTCATTAACTAAAAGTGTTTTGTAACATTGTTTTTTCATCACAAAATTAGTCCTGTCAGAATAAGTTCTGACGAATCTTATTTGTGCTTTCTGAATTAACTGATTGTACACTTAAAAGACCAATTAATATCTGTCTATCGGTATATTATTTGTATGTCTTTTCACGATTCATAAATCTCACTATTGACCCATTTTACTCAGTTGGAGATTATTGAGTGTTACTGATTGTATATCAGCAACGACTGACCCAGTAGCGATATAAATAATATGAATTGATTAGGAAAACACATTAAAAAATCAAGATACAAATCTTCATGGTCATATACTTCGAGCTATTTTTATTTTACAGAGCTGCAGCTGAAGCCATACCGTACGGACGAATTTGTTCACCGTTTATTTTACGAGTCATCTAGATTTTCCGCTTTCAATTGTCAATGGGTTGTCAAAGCTAGAATAAATAACAACCAGAAAGATCCCACACAAAGTTCCGAAAGGGATATGTCTTACCAGGTAAGATGATTCCAAATTTTTTTCCAACACTCGCCAGGTGAAGCAAAAATTGATATTTACTGTAATTCAGCTTCTCATTGATGATTTTTTTTTCGTCAGTTGATATTGTCATTATTTGAAAAGGGCTTTACGGAAAGTTTACATGCATGTGTCCACAAATTTTTACACAAATAAAAATTAAACCAAATACAAAATATACAAATCAAGTCAGTCGTACATATTGATTGATTTATTGAAGTTTTTAATTTATACAATCAAAAGTTATGTCAGAGAACAGTCGTTACATCAAGACTGAAAGTATGAGTGTAAATGTAGAAAATACCAAAAAAATATATACAAAATATTAATACTGAAAGCTACTGTTAACAGCGTAGAAAACATAATAATATAAAAACTCATGCATCAAATTACTTTGGTTCAACATCACATAACAGATCATTATGAGTATATGGTTGTAAAATTTAACAGCTACACTATACAGTCCTTTTTCCACATTTTTTTTTATTTGTGCTTAGGAAAAATAAGGTTTGATTTTTGACATCTGCTGTAGCAGTGCTCATGTTTATCATTTTCAAATTTCGATTTAATATCATAAACAAACATCACACAAGCTTTTATTATAACTAACTTTGTTTCAAAGTTTTTTTATTTATTAATTGCACGGGATCATCCCTTTTATAGTAGTACAAACATCAAATATAATAAATATTCATATACAATTATCAAATTAAATACTGAAAATGAGTAAAATCACCAAGATAAACAGAATTATGGATTATACAATTCCATAGTTTATATGATGTAGGATCATTATTCCTGATAGTTCTCTTTGGCGCATGTAAATGAATTCTCTCGAGAAGTTGGGGGAATGTAATAAGGTCATTAATTGATTTGTCATCATTCTCTCTTCTGCTCAACAAGTCTAGGTTAGGACTGTCCAATAGAATTGTATAATCATGATTATCAATATGTATATTCATTTTATAGGCACAGAATATCAGAAATTTATGTTGTGATTTGTATAAAATGGCGATCAAATTGACAGCAGTATGATTTATATGATCTAAAAATCGCAATTGCTCGTCATAGATAACTCCTAGTACCTTCATTGAAGCAATACGTGTTAGTGGATTATCATTCAGGAAGTATGAGGTGTGAAATTTTCTATTCACTTTGTAAAAGCCAATAAAACTATATTTGCTGATGTTATGTGTATATTGTTTTCAATACATCTCATATTCAATCCATTTAAATCATGTAACAGAATAACATCGTCTAATGTTTCTATTGGTCTAAGAATTTCAAGATCATCTGCAAACATTAGAAAGTTTGAATTTTCAAAACAAAATGTAATTTCATCAAGATGTCGAACAGAAGAGGTGCACAATGAGACCCCTGAGGTACTCTCGACGTTATATGAATGATAGTTGACCTAGCATTTCCTACTGTAACTTGCTGAGATCGGCCAGTTAAGAAGCTTTCAAACCATGATAGCGACAGATCTGTGAAATCAAATAATGGTTTCTTTTCTGACATCATTGATTGATTGAGAAAACTATGTTCGGTTTCTCTAGTCTTCAAATATTGAAAAGAGTATTTTTTACAGTTGATTCTAAAGTCAAAATCTGCCACTCCATTGAGTCTCAGTTACATAGTTTTAAGAGGCCCAGTAGGAGACATAAATCTGAAGCCAAGAATATATGAATTTGAATTCACGGAGCAGAATAACGAGAGTCCCTATGTAAAGCTTCCTCTACCAGACACCCCAGAATGTAACCGTCTCCTTGCTGCTACTACAATAAATTTTAGGTGAGTACAAAGTTTTCCATTTAGCAAAATATGTGAGTTTTTATTTGGCATGTACATCCATACTTTTCTGTCAAAAAAATGGTATACTTTCTGGTTAACTTCATTCATGCTGCTTGAAGCCTTACATTGAGATCTCTATTGAGTAAACATCATTACTATGAAATTTCTAAAATGTTTTATATTATTTTATAGTGTGAACTATTTGGTTGATAAAATTCGGTTTGAATAATTTTTGCTCACCAAAATATTTCATGTATGTTTTTTGTGGCAGAATCAATATCCAGCCCTATAATTGATAAATATTGTTTTTTGTTCCAGGTTGATAATGTTCTCCAAGTGAATATTTTTACTGTAATATTTTAGCTATGTAATGATTTTTTACATACCTTGATTTAAACTGTTTACAATAAATTTTTGTGTATCCCTAACATTAGGGATGTTTCCAGGCAACTCCTTATTTTGTGTTATTTTTGGATCTCTGTAGGTTTAAGTTTAGAATTAACTGAATTTCTTATATCCATGAAAAAGAATATTCACCTAAAACAAATAATTTTCATAAATTGCTTTACATAATTAACTTTTAGCAATGTTCATCTGCTGAACAACTTCACACTTACGTCTGGATTGTACCAACTGCATCTGATCCTTTGCTTGTTCTTTTTGAAACCAATGTATGGATGAATTTTCCTGTCCTTCACTAGCAGGCCCCTCAGGCATTCACCGTTACCAAAGTTGGAACCGACCAAAATGACCAGACAGTTTTTGCCTTGATGACTCGTAGCCATGTAAATGTAGTCTTCACTCTTCTTCTATAAAAAATGGAAAGACACACTTCAGGATCTACTAGTAAAATACGAACTGTAAACAAAATTCTTAAAAACCTAAGAAATAGGCACCGAAAAATGATTTATACATAAAATTTTCCGGTTTTAACTTTTAAATATCAATTAATTTATGTTTACCAGTTTAAATTCCAGTCTGAATAATAGCCCATGAATTTTATCTCTGCAGACACCTGGATATCACCAATTTTGAGCAAGTCCTGTGACATATTTTTATGAAATTTGTCAAAAAAAAAAATATTTTGACACCAATGCAAAAGCTGTTCTTAATCTGAGAATGAGTTGGTCAATGTTTGTGTCATCAACAAACGTAGTAATAAGACCATTCAATATACCATATTGGGGTAAATTATTCACATACATCAGAATTAGTAAAAGTTTTTCAAGTGGGCCCTGAGCAAACCAAGTTTCACAACCTGGGGGACACACTGAGCTATTACTTGAAACATATTTCTTTCTTTCACAAAAGACCTCATCTAAAGCTATACTATGGGAAAAACCAAAGTTATTTATTTTTTGCAAAAGAAATTAGAAATTATTAATCACATTGAATGCTTTCGATATACAGAAAAATAGCAATATGATATAATCTTTGTCAATATGGAAATATATAAAATCCAGAAGATGATATGAGGTTGTTTGAATAGATATTTTTTTACAAAGCCGTACCAGAGACAGAGAGAATGGTTTTTCTTTCCAAGTCATCCATGATTTGAAACAAATCAAAATAAAATCAATCTATTCACTACTTTCTTTCCTATAGACCAAAATCTTTAGTACAGAATCAGATCAGGAAATGGGTCGATATGAAATGTACTGTGACAATATACTTGAAAAAAACCTTTACATAAAAGGACTGCTCAAAATGAGAACTGAAGAATTGTTTCAACAAATGAGAGATCGGCTCAGAATAATTACAGGGCTATTCAATAGGCACTGTCCAGTGAGAGGACACTTGAACAAGATATAGTTGTATAGCAGAAACCTTACAGGCAATAAAGCAATTTATAGTCAACCCAAATTATGTCCAAAGAATACGACAGATATCAACAAGGGACCTTTACAAGGATGCGGGAATATGAATATGTCAGAAAGTTCCCAAACAGCAGTAAAAACATTTTTATAGAAGGCATTCAGGCAATTTATAATCACTAAGGACCTCAAACAATGATTGTCTCAGAACATAACCAAAAATTAATAAATATCACTAAAAGAAATGATTACAATGAATATGTTTTGTAATGATAAAATAATATTTTAGAGATTAATATACCTTTATTTCTTTAGCAAGTTCAGCTCGATTGATTCTCTTATAAGGCTCCGCATCATCTGTATTCCATAGCTGTAGGTCTGAAGTGTGGGTAATGCAACTGATGCTATAGTTTTTATTTTTCTCAAACCACGTTAGTTGTTCAATAGAAGATTCTGTGTTCAGGCACTCTATCAACGCATCATCCTCACAAGTTTGTGATAAATCATATACATTTATCAGTCCATCAGTTGAGCCAGATATTAGCTTATTCGTGTCATCTGGATGAAATTTAACCTGTGTAATATCATCGGTATGTGATTCCCAGTATCCCCCCAGTAGTTTTTTACTACGTGTGTCCCAAAATAATAAAAAAGAGTCTCCTCCTGATAAATCAGTACCAGCTGCTAAGAGTCTATCATTACATGAAATGTCAAAACAATTGAAAGGTTTCTGGTCTTTTCCATTTTCCACAGTGGTGTCTACAGGAAGAAGAAATATTAATTAAATTTTTAAAGCATATATTAGAATCCATGTATTATTTGAATTGATAGTAAATATTTGTTTGTGATAGTTTTTGAAAAATTATTCATACATTTTTGTCTACTGATTGAGAATCTGAAGTCTGAACATGGCTACCTACTCAATTTTTCGGAGATAAGGCTATTCAAAACTGTTGAAAACTACAACTATTTCATTAACTCACTCCCTGCTAATAAAATATGTAAAATAACTGATAAAAGTCAACTGGATTTCTTGAATCTTGAGTCTCTCTGTACCTCCAAAAGCAAAGTCTACTAACAAACTTTGATTTCAGATACATTGAAATTAATATTTTCTGTATCCTTAAATGTTGGTATTATTTTACTGACCTGTAAAGTTAATGACAGATTTATTTGGTGTTCGAATATCCCAGAGTTTGACAACACCATCGCTGGCCCCAGTATATATCAAATTGTTGTTGCCGCTACTGAATCTACAATCAATTATGTTATTGGTATGTTCGGTGAAATCTTCTATTTTTGCAACCTGATTACCGTGAATGTTATACACAACACATGAGTGATCCGAAAGAGTTGCTACTACATTTGGATTACTTTCCCTGAAAACATAAAAATGAAACTATATAGTCAAATGAAAAATGTATATAATGTTGTACCTTGTAGCATCTACGTGAAGAACGTATTCATTTTTCCTAATCAACGTTGCATTAATACAAATACAATCGCAAAATAATCTATCAATTTCTGCAACATTATGTTCATCGGAATCCGATCCACTATCGGATTCTTCATCATTTTCATTTAATTCAAGTTCTCTTATTTTCTTCATAGCTTTTAGCATCCGTAGTTCGTCTACGTACCAATAAATTTTTCGATAAATTGCAAGGAATGGTAAATAAGACACTTATCTTTTGTATATTATGTTAACCTTTACAACTTCTTCTTCTCTTTTTTTTTGGTCTTTGCTTCTCTTACGGCGCAGTATACCCGTCTACTCCTATTACATAAAGGATGTAATGCAATAGTCGCTTCGTAGAGGCTCTATATATATACTTTATTCGTCTGGAGACGTAGTGTGTCTTGCTAAAAGCAAATTACGTCCTTTTGTTGTTGATAGACACTTAGATTACGTGAATTGAATCGTTGTTGCGTAATTGGATCTTTTGGCTTGATTATCTGCCTTCTGTCTTCACTTGCTAGTAGGTGTTCACTGGACAAAGAGTACATATAGAGGTAATATGATGCTAGGACTATTATGAGCTTATAACTTATGTCAAAATCAGCATTGCCAAAAGAATATTGTTGAATTCCTAAATCACAAAATACTAATTGCTTATCAGATGTCAGTCAGTCACACCGATGGATACCAAGATGCCTGTTTATTTAAGTACTCGTTGTAACAGCTCTGAAGTTGCTGATAGAAAGATGATGCAAATAGTGAATAATTTTTTAAATTTCAGTCATCCGATAGATAATGTTTGTTTCTCAGAAACAAATAAGTAGGGTTATCGTAAAAAACCTCGTATGCACGATATATTTTGATCAAGTACAGAGAGCAAACAAGTTTTTTTCCGGACTGGCCCATTCTGGAATAAGATAGTGCCAACAAAACACACCTAGTGCTGAATTCCCCGAAATTCTTTCAATGTTTTTGATTCCACAATGACTTTCTCATTTCCAAAAATTTTGAAAGTTCCTAACGATTGTCTCAAATGGGAGTTCTCTCAATTGTGTCAACTGCCAAACTAGGTATTTCCATGCGAAATTTCGGAAACACGTTCAGCATTTTCATGTAAAATGGTTCAGGAGTTTCATGTTTGGCAACACTGATATTTGAGATATAAAATTAAGAAGACGTGTGAAAACTGATTTGTAATTCTTCTTCTTCTCTTTTTTTAAGTTCTTTGCTTCCCTTCGGCGCAGTAGACCAGTAATGGCAATTGAATATCTTCAAATTTTGCTGTGTTCAATAAAATTGAATGTGCAATTGATGATAATTAAAATTTCAAGTTGTGATTAGACACTATCAATTTTTTTACTATCACTTCTTCTTCAGAAATGGCCGGACTGAACAGTAATAATGACTAAGAAATCATCTGAAAAGCCCAAACACAAGATTATAAGGCGTGTTCATCAGCTCTTGAATTATATGAAAGTAATCCAAGCCGAGCTGGATTAACTGATGAAGTCAAAAACGGCCAAGGCTGAAAAAACTGAGGTGCAGGCGAACAAATCCTCTGAGAAACAAGAATCGAACGGCGCCAGGCCAGCCAAGCGGCTTTTTCTCGTGTTTCTCGTGAAACACGACAACAGATTCATCCCGGCTCGAAAAGCCACTAGGCCAAACTACCACACGACGATGACAACGAGAGATACCCAACTACTTTACTCTCCCTGCCAAGTTCAGATTTCGAAAAGCCATCACTAGTCGTATCGAGAGACATCGGAATTAGCTCGCTGTGAGATAGCGTTAACAAAGACTAAACTACAAGTGGACGGCATCCATATACATAAGCCGAAGAATAAAATTTTACACCTACAGCCTGAAAACTGAGATCCTTCTGCACGCAGTAATCCGGGGCATCTCGGAGAACGTGGAAGAGGCAGGCGTCATGTACGACCTCAGAGCACACGGATTCACCGTTTTGAAATGTCATCGCATGATATCGTCAGGATCAGAATATGCCTGAAGAGATGTGATTCTTTCCAACGAACACTCACTCCAATGAACAAGAGGTGCATACATAGAGTCAGCAGACTTCTACAGAAAGAGCTGCAAGCACTTCAAAACCGATAATGGACAACCCGTATGGCAAAACTCAACACCTCATAATAATCTGCATAGGAAATGCAGAGTCCTGAAAAAGGGCAGCCGGAAATTGGCCTGACTCACAGTATTGTTTGGGCTTTGCGATTCATTTTGTGGTTGTAGATGCCTTACAACATTGTTTAGGCTTTGCGGTTCATTTTGCGATTGTTCTTCGCGTGGAACATGGAATAGATGAGGGTGATGTCTACCTCCTTAGAACATCACGATTTCAAAAAAACACTTATTCGGCATATGCCCAAATTTGAGGCAGAGGAAATATAATTTTAGGTTGAGAACATTCTTTCGTCTTTCATTTTCTGATAATGCAGAGAATTTCATATGTTTTGATATAACGTGGTCCAGTTTTTCACATAAAATGCACTCACTAGTTTTATTCCCTGAAGAACTATCTCTTTTGGAAATTCCAATGGTGTTTGGAATCCCTTCTAATCGCATTGACGTTTGAATTTTTCCAATGAAAACTTTTGGAAGCTTTTGTAGATATACAGATTGAATTGACGTTTTTATTTGTGGTTACCATGTTTTTCACCATGTTTTAATATTACCAGCTTTTTTCGTCTTTTCTATCAGCGACAAAATGATCCATTCGGATCTACCATAATTGATTTCTAGCGTCTTGATAATTTTTGAGGCGATTTTTGGGGAAATAAGAAGAGATTTGACAGTTTGTTTTGCTTTGCCCTTCATTGCTCGATCTAAACGGATAAAATTGTCTCCATCAGATTATCCAAGCTGGTCTGTAGATTTTCTAAAGTTATTGATGAGAAGAGTACTTTGAATAATAACATACTTTGGGGCCATCAAATTTTGTCTGCTTTTATAGTAAATTAAACATTTTTCAATACATCTTCAGTAGTGTTTTTGTTGGATTCATTTTAGGCCAGAGATATCAGATCTACCTTATATGTCAGTAAACATTCTTATGAATTCAAACTACAACTTTGGCTGTGGCCAAAAGCCAATTCTTTTCTATTCATCGATGATGGTATATCTTCATTGGGCTCTTATTTCTCCTGGCATTTCCAAAAGCATGAAAAAAAATTCACAGTACACCTATTTTTTACAGTTGTATTTTCAACGGTATCAGTCAGTATCAGACAAGATAAAAAATTTAACAGTGTATTTCCAAAAGTTTTAACCGAACACAGTACAAACAATATAACTATAAGCTTATTCAAATGTTATGTATATAAAAGAGACAAAGAACTGTTAAAAAAGTATATGAATATATATGTTATATAGATAAAACATATTATGTACATTTTAAATGAAAATTTGAGTGCAAATAAAAAATAGGAAACGATAAGTTCTAGCAGAGTTCATTGAAATTGATGATTCCCAAAAAATGTAGTAATCAGAAGAAACAAAATCTAAGCTGTTATTTTGACTCTAATTATGTTTCGAACATTAGTGCTAGTCAATGACAGCTGTTCAAGGGTAACAATTAGAAAATATTGAAGATAAAGAACACAGAATGTGCTCTAGGCTTGTGTATTTTCTTTACTCAAAATTGGGTAGGCTTGGTTTTTTACCTAGAATGAATTTTTTCATGGGTTTTCAAATGATAATTTTGAGAGAATTTTTTTGCACAAATTTTACATTGAAACCGTTTCTCTCCAGTATGAGTTATTTCATGTTTTTTCAAACAACTATTCTTAATGAATGACTTTAAGCAGATGTCACATTGAAAGGGTTTTTCTCCAGAATGAATTTTTTCATGAGATTTCAATATATAATTTTGGGTGAATGACTTAGAACAGATTTTACACTTGAACGGTCTTTCACCAGTATGATTTTTTTCATGGTTTTTCAAATGATTACTTATAATGAACGACTTTAAGCAGGTTTTACATTGAAATGGTTTTATTCCGGTGTGACTTATTTCATGTCTTTTCAAATTGCTACTTGAAACAAATGACATTAAGCAGATTTTACACTGGAATGGTTTCTCCCCACTGTGAGTTGTTTCATGCCTTTGCAAACTACAATTTGTAGCAAATGACTTTGGGCAGGTTCTGCAATGAAACGATTTTTCACCAATATGACTTATTTCATGTCTTTTCAAATTACTACTTGAAATAAATGACATGGGACAGGTTTTACACTTAAACGGTTTTTCCCCTGTATGACTTCTTTCATGCCTTTTCAAAAGACAATTTTGACTGAAAGCTTTGGAGCAGATTTTACACTGGAATGGTTTTTCCCCTGTATGACTTCTTTCATGCCTTTTCAAAAGATAATTATGACTAAAAGCTTTGGAGCATAATTTACATTGGGATGGTTTTTTCTCATTATGAGTTCCTTCATTTCCTTTTTCTTTCGAATATTCTGAGCAAATTTTGTATTCTTCATAATCATTATTTTCTTCAACTGAATTCACAGAAAATTCTGATTTGAATGATTTACTGCTTCTTTCTCTTTCATATAACGCCTCACGTTTCACATTTTTGATAGCAAATTCCTTTTGATTAACTATTGATAATGTGTTTTTCCTCAAAATATCATGTTCCTTTTTTTCAGTTATTTTATCTTCTGTTTTTTCACAACGAATAACTCCAGGATCTGTAATAAAACCGTTTTTCACCACTATATGTATCATTATATAAAGGACAGGTCACAAAACATTTATCGAATATAAATTATACCTGTGACAAGCATGTCTGTAAAATATTTTGAAATTTTAAATTATATAAAAACAATTGTTTTTTTACAAAAATGTAAGATTAAGAGAAAACCTATTTTATCACTATTTTTCTTCAATAAAATATAAATAACATTGTATAATTTAAAAACTTTCTTGGAAACCAATAGGTTGGTTGGAAAAGCTAGAAGTGAAAAATGAAAAATAACTTTCATGATGATCTCCTACCACTTAGTAACGGCTACATCCATCAATTTATTGAAATCTAAAAGTATCTGAAATTAACAGCTACTCTGAAGATCTCTATCTATTTATAAACCCTGATGTTCACTGAATTATTGTATAACCAATTATATTTATATCAGATTTTAATGATGCTTTGATATTATATTCAGAATACACACTATATTCTGGATATGTTCCTATCATTTAATAATCAGTATGACAAATAATTTTATAAAGTTGAAAAACGTACATCTAGAGTCTAAAACGGGTGGTGAGGATAGATAAATTTTGAACTAAATCATAGAACAATTCTCCTCTCTTAGAATTCTAGTGAGTGCACACACTTTCAAATCCACTGAAGCACGGTTTATCAAGTAAAAGTATATGATCCATTGTTTCAAAGCTTCTACCGAGATCAAAGTACTACATTGGCTGAAAAGTCTCGGGTCTAACACATAGATGGCGCTAGTCTTATTGCATTCACCGCTTTTTCAGTTAGTACTAACATTCAAAAGAAAGATGTTGAAATTTCATGATATTCTATTCATAAGTTTGTGACTTATTGTGCTAAGAGTAACACTACTTTTGTTATTTTCAAAACAATGGATCAAAAACAATTTCGTGTTTTAGTTTTACACTGCTTCTTGATGAAAAAAAAATACAGTTCAAGCGAAGTAATGGCTTGAAAAGTGTTATAAGGACTCCGCTCTATCAGAAACAACAATAAACATAGGTTTGCTGACATCAAAGGTGGTCGTTTGAATGATCGAAAAGTGAAGTTGCGTTAGCAAACATTGTAAAGGTATTAAAAGAACGTGTTGGCTTTATATTGCATGAGCATTTGCCTATGTGAAAGCTCTGGGTGCGGCACGAGCTCGCTGTTGACTAAAAACAAGAACGTCTTGATGATTCTGACCAGTGTTTGGCTATGTCTAAACATAATAAACCCGAATTTTTGCGTCGATATGTGACAATGGATGAAACATGGATTCATCACTTGACTCTGGAATCAAAACAATCTTCATCTGAGTGGAGAACAACTGGTGAACCTCGTCCAAAGCGCCCGAAAGCACAACAATCGGCTGAAAAGGATATAACCTTGGTATTTTGGGATGTGCATGGTGTAATATTCATCGACTATCTTGAGAAGGAAAATACCATCAACAGTGAATATTATATATCGTTATTGGAGCGTTTGTTTCATCAAAACAACGCTCTGTGCCACAAGTCAATTAAAACAATGGCAAAACTACATGAATTGAACTTTGAATTGCTCCCACGTCCATCGTATTCGCCAGATTTGGCTCCCAGCGACTACTGGCTGTTCGCATCTCAAAAAAATTCTCAGAAGTAAGAAATTTTCCTCAAATGAAGAGGTTAACAGAACAGAACATTTATTTCCGTGAAATACTATTTACATGAATACATACAAATTTATAATAAATACACTGTTTGTTTGCATTTGTTGCGGTATTTCGGCCTAGAAAGGCTTGAGGAAACTATTACCAATTGATATAATTTCTTTAACCTAGACTACCTAGACCTAGAGGGTACAAGGTATATAACAGTGGTAAAAATAAAGGCCAAAATGTATCTGTAGAGTGTTATCAAGATTCAACAGATTTCACAGACCTATTTTGAGGCAGAAGATAAATCGTCCTACAAAAGTGGTATTGATATGTTAGAGCGGCGCTAGAATGATTGTGTGGCTCTTGAGATTTTCGATCATATTACATTTATCTTCAAAGTACAAACTTTATCCATTATATTTGAGTTGGCATTCATTGATATTTCTTGTTTCACATATAAATCTTATTGTATTTGAAATTTGAAGCCTCTAATACATGAATTCATAAATTTAGGAAATATATTTCCAGAATTGGAAAAAATTACCTTCTTTAAGGCCACATTCCTTTAATATATCCTCATGATTTATATAATCCGGTTTTGACTCCTGGTATTCTTGGCAAAAACATTGATATCCATCAATGTCACCAGTGACATCTATTTCGTCATTGAATTTTCCGTTACACACTATACAAAAGTCAGATTTCACTAAACTGTTTTCAACTTCAATATTTTCCATTTTTAAATTCAATAAGTTAAAAGAAACGTCTTCCTTTTCTTCTTTTATTGGTTTCATATCCCTATCGTATAAATTTTCCAGATTGAACATGGACTTTCCATTAGTCTGCTCACGGTGATGCAAACGGGGAGTACTAGAAACATCTATATCATTTTGCCCCCGTGAACTGAACCTTAAAAATTCGTCTGTTTCAGAGGCTCCGGTATAATCGTTGCAGACGATTTCTAATTTGATTTGACTTCTTTCAAATTCTTCTGTATCCATTATGAAATCAGAAATATTGTCTTACAAAAATATTTCCAAGAAAAACATCATAACAATAACATAACCCTACTCCAGTGATAAGTTAAAGGTTCTTCTTCTTCTTCTACCTGCTGATTTCTCCCAGGCTTCCTTTACGACACTATTATTACCAGCACTCTCCTCACTGATGTTACGCAATAAGAACTTCGTCCTGGGAGTACAGGAGTCTTGCTTTTCGCATTACTGTACTCCTTACAATGTCCTTGTTACAAATTGATTAACTTGTCAACTATTATATAATGAATTATTGAATTTCATCTTCGAAGATAAAAATGAAAACAATAATAAAAATCAATTGGCACTCCGGGGAGACTTCATTGATTCCAGTGGCGCATTTGCTTTTTCAGCTGCAGGAAAACCCGGAAAAACCTGCAGCACCACATCATCTGAACGTCTTAATCTGCCAATGTCCTCTCTTTCATAAAGAGGCTCATAAAGAGGCTCTCCAGAGGCTCCAATAGATTCAAAACATCGACAGAACACTTCGTGACACGACTATCGTCAAACCGTTTCGTCTTCGACCAAGGCGTAATAATGACAAAATTCAACGCCAGAACCACAGTGAACAATGACTGCATGAATATTATAACAGTGGTCTGCTAGATTGAAATGTTCATCTATTTCGAACCTTCGAAAGAGTTTCTTGCTTCCGTCAGAGGTTGAGTCTTGTTTGAAGATCATCTATCTTATTATTAGATTGACTGGTGCCTCAGCTATACTTGTTTCCTCATAACAGTCAGTTAGTTTGGCCTACGTTTGGCAATACAGTCGATCATCACCTGTTAAAACTTCCATTTCCAGATGATTTAACAATAATCTTTGCACGGACTGATTATTAGTCATATTAGGAAACGCTAGATGAAGTTCCAGAAATTCAAGTTTTCGCTACCTCTTGAACATTTACTACAAAATAAACATCATTGCAATCCTACTACCACCATTAGTAGTGGCGACCTCTAACCGGCGTGAATGGAGTATACTCTTCATAATTCTCGTTAACTCTACTTCATATATTTAATGTAATTCTCGCACGTTCAGCAACGGTGAACAGCTACAACACAAACTGAGTTCCATCTCCAACAAAGGCCGTTTTCACACTAGCCGACACGACCCCGACCCGACACCGACCCGACACCTACCCGATTTGATGCCGACCTGATAAAATCGGATGTGCTTTCACATCAGACAGACAGTCGGTGGCAGTAATTCGACGTAGCAGCTCTGTGTTTTATAAACGTGAAAAAATGGCTGACAGACGTTTGTATTTGTTATATTTGTTGCATTTA